CAGATCTTTGAAAATCACCAGAGTTAATGGTGATATCTTTGCTAACTTGGTGATTGACGTGATACTTGGTTTTAAATATGCACGTGTGAAAGGTCTGACTCAATTTCCAGGCAACTTTGTTCATGTTTTGATGACCCATCGGTGAAGTCAGGAGAGAACGGTTATTAAAGGCTATAAAGTAATGATAATAGCTAGCATTTATATAACACTTTAAGGTTTGCAAAGTGCTTCAAATCAACCAATCTTCACAACAACCTCGTGCAGGAGGTGTATTATTATCCCCCTTGAACAAATAAGGAAACAGAGACTGAGAGAGGTCAAACAACATACCTAAGGTCACACAGCCAGCAAAGCATGCCAGGCAGGACTTGAACTCAAGTCTTCTAGACTCCAAGCCCAACACTCTATCCACTGTGCCATCCTAAGTGTCTAGTGGCATCACAGGATAAGATTCAAGGAGTTTGGGGGCAACTAGGTGGCACAGTGAATAGAGCACCAGCCCTGAAGTCAGGAGGACCTGAGTTCAAATCTGGCCTCAGACCAAACACTTGACACTTACTAGCTGTGTGACCCTGGGCAAGTCACTTAACCCCAATTGTCCCAAAAAAAAAAAAAAAGATTCAAGGAGTTTGAACTCTTAACTATTCCTAATTTCCTTATTTCTGTTCAATGCATCACCGTTCTTCCAGTCAGTCCAGATTTGCAACACCAGTCATTCTCAATTCTTCCCTCTTGCTCTGCCCTCTACTCAACAATATTCTAGCTGGCCAAAAGCTGATTGTTAAATTTTCATTGTAAGCATTTACACCTCAAAAATAGGCAAACACTATGAATCTGAGTTTGATTTACTGATTCATCAACTGTCCAGACTTTAAAAAATTATGTAGAAAATGTTAATCATGCAGATTAAACATATTAGAGTGATGTGCTGTTGTAGAGAGCTGGTTGTTAAACATTTACCAGCACACAACCGTCACTCTAATTCAGGCCCCGTCACCTCCTACCTGAATTATTGTAATAGTCTCCTAAGTGATCTTCCACGTCTAGTCTCTGCCCTTTCCGATCCATCTTACACATGGCTTCTAAATTGATATTACTGAAGCACGGGTATAACCATTTTGCCCTCTTGCATTTAGAATAAAATACAAACTCTTTCCGTTTGTCATTTAAAGCACCCCCTACTATGGCTTCACCAAACTGACCTACTTATGGTGCCTCAATTATGGCCCTTCAGCTCCCATTTTCATTCCTTTGCAATGCCTTCTTGCTATGTGTATGTTCAGCTGTTTTCAGTCATGTCCATCTCTTCATGACCCCATTTGGGGTTTTCTTGGCAGAGATACTAGAATGGTTTGCCATTTCCTTTTCCAGATCATTCTGCAGAAGAGGAAACTGAGACGAACAGGATTAAGTGACTTGCCCAGGGTCACACAGCTAGTAGCTACACGAGGCTAATCCTGATCCCCCAGTTGCTAGTGCTCCCCCTGCCTCTCAGGCCTCTTAAGTGTGTATTTCATATTTAGTTCTCAGGGTATACACAGCAACTGACTCATAGTAATCAGTCAATCAGTCAACAGACATTTATTAAGCGCTAACTATATACCTGTCAACATACTGAGCACTGGGGATAAATACAAATGGAGAGACAGGAAGACAATTCCTGCCCTCCAGGAGCTTACATTCTAATGGAGGAAGATAGCACATAAAATAAAGCTAAAAAGGGGGTGTGGGGGTGAGTAGGGAGAGAATTTACTGTTGGAGCATGGTAGAGAAAATCCTATGGAAAACAGTCATCAGTGGGGCCTGGAGAGAGATAAGGACACCTTCAGCCTGGACTTCCTCCTTAAATTGAGAGCTCTGGGAAGAAAAAGTCAATCAGAAGCCAAGTCCATAGGATAGAGAGTACTATAACAATAATAATAATACCTAATATATAGTGCTTACTATGTGCCAGGCACTGTGTTAAGTGCTTTATGATTATTATCTTATTTGATCCTCACAATAACGCTGGGAGGTAGGTGCTATCATTATCCCCATGTTACAGAGGAGGAAACTGAGGCAAACAGAGATTGAGTGACTTGCCCAGGGTCACACAGCTAAGAGGTGACTGAGGCTGGCTTTGAATCCTCATGTCTTCCTGATTCTAGGAAGACCTATCCGCTCTATCCATTACTTTTTGTTGTTCAGTCATTTTTTCAATTGTATCTGACTTTTCATGACCCCTTGTGGGGTTTTCTTGGCAAAGACACTGGAATGGTTTGCCATTTCCTTCTCCAGCTCATTTTACAGATGAGGAAACTGAGGCAAGCAGGGTTAAGTGACTTACTTAAGGTCACATAGCTAGTAAGTCTCTGAGGACAGATTTTAACTCAGGTCTTCCTGACTTCAGGCCTCGCTCTCTACCCACTGCACCACCTAGCTAAGCAACCCTGGAATAGAATTAATTTCCAGGGTGGAGAGGTTTCTATGGATGGTAGAGAAAGTCTAATGCAGATGAGTCAGCAGCGTAACCTGGAGAAGGATGAAGGCTTCTCTTTATTTCTGTTTCTTAGCAGACACCTGATAAATGCTTGTCAAATGAATGAACGATTGTAGGTGTTATTGGCCCCATTTTACAGATCTAGGTCTAGAAACATTAAGTGACTTGCTCATAAAAACACAAATAAATAAATCCAGAAGCAGAATTTGAATCCATCCTGCTTCTGCCTCCAAGTCCAGCGTTTTTTTCTACCAAACCATGTAGAAGATAGCAAAGGGGATGACAATCCAAGGTTCCCAGTTAATGTATCACAGTTTCCTTTTCTACCCCCAAATTTCTGAATAAAAATCAAAACAAGCCATGGCACTTCCCCCTAGCACAGTACCATACATATGGCAATGGCCAATGAAGAAGACAGCCCTTGGCAGGCAGGAAGCTTGCCCCTCTCCACTCTTTAGCCCTTCCCTGAATCCTAGCTGGGAAGGCCTGATCACTGCCCATTGGTCAGACAGGGTTCCACAGAGGAAATATGCCTGCCATAAAGAGTCAAACTGTCACTGCATTCCCTCATTGGCTTAAAGACCCTAGATGGGATCCACAAGTATCACATCTTCTATCTTGGGGGCTGCAATCTCAAAGCATCTCCTCTATCAGTAAGTTTAATTCTTTTTCTTTAAGGGCAAAAAAGTAATATAGGCAGGGGGTGCCTAGAAGCAAGAGACCCTGGAGGGCTTCTAGTCCCATCATCTCTATTGTCATATTTGATCCCCAAACCATCCCAAAAAGGTCAGTGGGATTCTGTTATTTCTCATCTTTACAAAGAAGGAGATTTAGGCAGTGAGAGTCTCAGTAATTCACCTACCATCATATAGCTGGTGAGCCCAGAGACGAAACAACAGCAGACAGCAGAGGCATCCAGGCGCTCAATACCCTACAGGCACTCATGCATTGGAGACAACTCATACTGTTGAGTGAAAAAGTGGGAGCAGCTCACCTCTGAAATCAGCCCCTGCTACAAATCAGGGCTTGAATTATTGTGTTGTTGATTGTCTACCAGGGGTGGCCTCAAGGCCACATGTGGCTCTCTGGGTCCTCAAGTGCGGCCCTTTGACTGAATCCAAACTCCACAGATTCAGTCACGGATTTCACAGAATTCACAGATTCAGTCAAAGGGCTGCACTTGAGGACTTAGAGGGCCACATGTGGCCTGGAGATCACAAGTTCCCCAGCCCAGGTAGACTTTTAAAAGTGATGGATAAAATGTAAGTAATGCAGAATAAACTTTAAAATGTGTCATACAGGAGCAGCCAGGTGGTACTGTAGATAGAGCACCCACCCTGGAGTCAGGAGAACCGGAGTTCAAATCTGGCCTCAGACACTTACTATCTATGTGACCCTGAGCAAGTCACTTAACCCTGATTGGCTAAAAAAAAAAGTGTCATACATACTTTTTTTCCCTGAGAGGGGTTGTTAAACATTCATTTCCCTGTACACCCCTGACTGATAACGTTGTCCAGCACTCAGAATCTTCTGAGTACTGCTGAGCCCTTTTGAAATTATGAACCAAGAGTTAAAATCATCAGAAATATTAGTTACTTCACGAGTCAATAATGTTTCATAGGGAAGGAAATAGCTGCTCTTCCTTCCAATCCCTTGTAGCAGGACCATTTCACAGAAGCTGAGAGCTAGAAGGCTGTGTGTCTATTTGGTGCAAGGAGTTCTTGGTCATGTATGAATTAAATGGCCTCTGACACTCCTTCCATCAGAGGCAGCCATACAGTGAAATTAGGAGGGACAAGAGGAATACGTTCTTCCCAGTCTTCTATTCTGGGTCTTTCAGGTAGCTAAGTTAGCTCACAGTTCTGTGATAATGGTATATGTTGTCAAGTCCTGAACAACTTATACCAACTGTCGGCACAAACAGGAAAGGAACAGACAAGGCTTTTACATCAGATTCTAGCTATAGAGCCAGTAGAGACCTCATTAGTCTTGGGTTGGAATTCCATTAGTGAATCATCCTTTGTGTTAAACACTGCCTTCTCTTCTTTTAAAATCTAAGTACTCCCAGAGTGTAAAAAGACACCACACATGAATTTAGTACCACCTGGAAAGTCTAGGGCAGCTTGCTGTGTCTTGGGCAGGATGGTATGGGTTGGTAGAGTGGAAAGGATGCTAGAGTTGGTTTCATATCGTTGCTCTGACACTAGCTAACTATGTGGCCTCGGTCAGGTCACTTCACCCCTATGAAGCCTCCAGTTTTCTGACCTGTAAAACTAATGATCTCTAAGGTCCAATTCAGGGCAGGGAAAATATGGGCAGAAATGGGAGAAAGGGGACCAGGAGGACAAACTTTACCTCCTTCCTTTACCATCTTGCCCAGGGCTGTCTCTGAGCCAAAAGTCCATTACTAGATGACTTAAGGAGGGATTAATCACCATGGAAAGCCTACCCTTTGTAGCATTTTCTGTTTCCTGTGCCTCTGTTTTCCTATTGACCCAGCAAGATCCCTTGTGTTTTTCAGAATGCGGAAGCGAGCTATGACTTCAGCAGCAATGACCCTTATCCTTACCCTCGCTACACAGATGACTGGTTTAACAGGTAAACTGGGCACTGTTGGCTCCCCTGCCTTCACCTTAGGTTTTCAGGAGATTAGAAGGCTTAGCTGATACTGACAAAGTACCCTCCATCCTTAAATGAGTTGTATACTTTCTTTCTGAACAGCAGCGACTCTCTAAATCATTGGAAGATTGGGGGTTGTGACCATCCAATTGATTTTATTTGAAGACTGCAGATCCTTAAAGAATATCTTTCCATCATTTCAGTCTATTGAGTTATGACATAGAAATTATATGTCACTTTGGGCAATTGAAGGCAAAAGAAAATGACTGGGGAGGTAGAAATTCTAGGAAATTCCCTTCCTGCCCTCTGTGAGAGGATGCTAAATGACTGCAGCCCTACAGTAAGATAGAGAAAAAACAAAACTAGCCTAGGGAAGCATGGTAGAGGGTGGAGAAACACTGACTCTGGGGTCAGAGGGTCTGGATTCAAATCTTATCTCTCATCTCCATGTGACTTTAGCCAAGTACTTTATCTTCTAGGCCTCTGTTTCCCAATCTGTAAAATGAGCAGGGGTAGGGAGGAGGGGCAGAACTAGATGATCCCTTAGCTCTCTCCATGCTACAGCCCCATGATCCTACTTATTGTTCCTTAAACATGGAATCTCTCCAAGATACTGGCTATTCTCCATACTTGGAATGGACTCCTTCCTCACCTCTTCATCTTGGAATTCCCTGACTTCCTTCAGGACTCAGCTCTTGTGCCACCTCCTATGGGAAGCTCTTCTGAACCATCCCTCACCCCTCACCCCACCCCCTCCCCCCCACCCCCACCCAGCCAATTGTCAGTGTCCTCTAATTCCTCCTCAAATTATCATGTGTATACTTATCTGAGAGGCAGCATGGTAATGTGGATAGCGAGCTGGCCACAGAAAACAGGAAGACCTGGGTTCGGGTCCTCTGATATATACTGACTGTGACACCCTGGGCAAGTCTCTTAACATCACAATATTCTAGATAACTCTCTAAGATTAAAAGTTGCGGTGAAGGTGCTGACATGCATGGGTAGAGGGAATTGCCTTACCTGGAAGCACCCCATATTAATGAAATTATATGTCCAGTCCTTATATTTATCTGTTTACATGTTGCATTCCCTTCCCAAAAAGGAATGTAAGCTCCTTGAGAGCAGACTCTTTTTTTTTTTTATTCTCAGTGCCCAATACAGTGGCTAAGCAAATAATAAGCATTTAATAAATGATTATTTGGGACTGGACAAACTGTTTCACAGAACTGTTGCACTGTGTTCCATACTACACATGCAAATAGACACTGGGACAATGGCCACGTATTTTGAATCCCAGATATAACTTTTTAAATGATTTGTCTTTTTTCAAATAATTGCATCTTTATGCAGCCTGCCTGTGACTGGCAGAGACCCAGCAGTATCTAGCAGTTGGCACAATGATGCCACTATATCCATCAATCACATGGGTTGGTATGAGCAGAAGTTGCAGTTGGGACAGGGCTCAGAACTGTCATTTTGCTGAATGAACACATAGATGCCACTTCGAAAGATTTTTTTTCTTCTTCACATAGATATCTTGTTTCAGCAGTTTCACGTGAGAAAAATCTAAAAATATGTGTGACTTGCTCAACCACAAGATATAGCAATTTCCAAACATTCTCTAGCACTTTCTTGAATTATAAATTCAAAACTAATGCGAATAACATCTTTGGGTTAATCTTACAGTCATTCAAGAATAAATTACCTTTTTAAAAAAAGTATATGTTATTAATGATTTTAATATAAATGAGTATTTTATAAGGTAGTGAGTTCCCTATCACTGGAGATATTCAAGTAGACTTTGACTAATCATTTGTAGGAGATACTTCAGAGGAAATTCATGTACCTCTGAGGTCCTATCCAACTCAAATACTCTAGGACTTCATGAGTGTCTATTTTCCCATAGCATCTTTCATCTATCATCAGTACTAAGAGTACTGTTCTCATGGAGGACCTGTCTTCCACTTATGCTACTACATGGCCTTGGGCAACGTCACTTCTTTAAATTTCTGTTTTCTCGTTTCTAAACTAAGGATAAGAATATGTGTACTATTTATTGTGAGGTTTAAATTAGATAATGCATGCAAAATGCTGAAAATATGTCATTTTCATTTATTATCTTCTGTAATGAAGATTCCCAAGCCTACAGCATTAAAGGTGGTTTAGTCTTTGTTTTTTGGTCATGTCCAACTCTTTGTGACCCAATTTGGGGTTTTCTTGACAGAGATTCTGGAGTGGTTTGCCATTTCCTTCTCAAGCTCATTTTACAGATGAGGGAACTGAGGCAAACAGGATTAAGTGACTTGCTCAGGGTCACTCAACTAGTAAGTGTCTGAGGTCAGATTTGAATTCAGAAAGATGTCTTTCTGGCTCCAGGTCCAGCGCTCCATCCACCGTGCCACCTAGCTGCCCACTGAAGGTGGTAGATAATGCTTAAGTTGGAGAGTGGGGTAGAAAATGAGGATTAAGAGGAAACTGAATTGGTTTGGTCATGAAATACCCCTGCCTCCGGCCACAACTGCACTGACACCCAGCATCATTGTGATCCTACTTACATACAAAGCCAGGCATTGATCCAGAGATTGGACAAAGATACCATCCCAGGATGTTCTGTACTTAAAAAAAAAAAAAAAAGATGCATGTCCTCCAACGTAGCACCAGGCACTAATAGATATTCCAAAAAAAAGGGTTTTTTTATGGATTGAGACCCTCAAAAAAAGTAGAAATATGAAATTCTGACTCATCCATCTTCCCCATCTAAAACCCATTCAACTAAATCTTTCTGAGACAACATATTCAAATGGTGCTCTAAAAAAATCAAGTAAGTAAAAGTGGAAATTTGCATTTTAAGTTTGATATCCTCAAAAGGATAAAATTTTCTCAAAGTTTGAGTTTAATTGAAGTTCAAAGCTTCAATAAGGGCCCATTCCTTCTCAGCCCCTTAGGATCAGTTATCATCTCTGTGCAAATGACCCCCAAATCTACATGTCTAGTCGTTAACAGGTATGTAGTAAGTGCTTTTTATGTACCAGGTACTGTGCTAAGTGCTGGGGAGTCAAAGAAAGGCAAAAATAATTCTTGCCCCCAAAGAGCTTAAATTCTAATTCAGGGGACAATTGTAAATAAATAGTTACATACAAGATACATACAGACTAGATAGAAGGTTAGTAACCTCAGAAGGGACAAGCTCTAGCAGCTGGTGGGGAGCAGGGGAGAGAAGACCAGAATAGTCCTCCTCCAGGAGATTAAATTTGAGCTGATTGTTTTATTTTGTTTTTTTCAATTTATGGAATAAAGCAAGCATTTCCATAACATAGTACAATATAAAAGATGATTGCACATGAAACTGCAAATCTACTATCACAACTTGCTATTCCTTTCAAATATACAACAAAATTATCATGTACATTTTTTTCTACCTTCCCCCCTTGCCCTAGAGATGGCTACCATTAGACACAAATAGGTATATATGTATATGTATATACATATATATAATTATTCTATCCATGCTTCTATTAGTCCTTTCTTTGGATGCACATAGCGTCTTTCTTCATACATCCTTTGTAGTTAATTTGGGTATTTATGATAGACAAAATAACTTATTTGCTCAAAGTTGTTCTTAAAACAATATTGCTGTTACTGTATACAATGTTCTCTTGGTTCTGCTCATTTCACTCTTCATTATTTCATGCAAGTCTTCCCATGTTTTTCTAAGATCATTGAGCTCATCATTTCTTGTATCACAGTAGTATTTTATATACCACAACTTGTTCAGCCATTGAGCTTATTCTTGAAGGAAACAAGGCATTCTAAGAGATGGAGGGTGAAGAGGAAGAGTATTCCAGGCAAGTAAGACAGTCATTGTGATGCGATAGAAATAAAAGATGGAGCATCAGGTGAAAGGAACAGGATGCAGGCCAGCATGGCTAGATGACAGAGTGGAATAAAGTATAAGAAGGTGGGAAAGGTAGAGATAGGCCAGGCTGTGCAGAGCTTTAAATGTCAAATCCAGGATCCAGTGTCAAATACAAGGCCCACAACATTCCTGAGTGTGACTTGAACCAGATTAAAAAGTAATTCAGAAATATTTAACAAAATTTCAGATGTGTGTGTGTGTGTGTGTGTGTGTGTGTGTGTGTGTGTTTCTAAGTCAATGTGTGGTCTACAGGGATCCTTATGTACAATTTAGTGGCTTCCATTTCTAGGTAATAATAAAGTATCCAACCCTCCTTTCTCTCCTGAGTGCCAGTCTCATTACCTGCTGGATGTCCCCTAGGTATCTCAAACAAAACATGGCACGCCACCTTTCCTTTAAAACCACCCTTCTTTCTACCTTCCCTATCTCTATAGAGAACTTGACCTTCCTTCTAGTCACTCACATATTCAACCTTGCTGTCATCTTGCCTAAAAGTGGCAATCCTGTCTCCACAGCCTGTCTCATATTGATACCCTACTGTCTACTCACGTAGCTTCCTCTTGGAATCCCTACCTTCTTTCAAAGCCTAATTCAAGAGCAACTTTCTATCATGAGGCTTTCTTGATTCCCCCAGTGGCTAGCATTCCCCAACTTCTGAAACTACTTTGAGCTTATATTGTGGATATATGTATGTGAATGTGTGTGTATAGTGTGTATATGTATATGTATATTTAAACTTATATTGTGTGTATATTATATATAGTATATATATATATGCATGTGTATATATGTGTGTACCAATGCGTGTGTATACCTACATTGTGTATGTACGTATGTGTATATATACACATACACACATACACACATATATGAGGCAGCTAGGTGGTACAGTAGGTAGAGGGCTGGGCCTGGAGACAAGAAGACTCATCTTCCTAAGTTCAAATCTGACACTTAAGAGCTGTGTGACCATGGGCAAGTCACTTAACCCTGTTTGCCTTAGTTTCCTCATCTGTCAAATGAGTTGGAGAAGAAAATGGCAAACCACTCCAGTATCTTTGCCAAG